CACAATTGTTAATTTGACTGGAGTAAAAAAGTGCAGAATGTTCCTGATGTTAAGGACTAATCAATAAATATGCTTTCAGTGACCCCAAACATTTGACCGATGATCGAAAATAAAGGATTAATCAAATTGAGAAATAAAGAACCATAATAATACATGAGCTTTATATTAAATAAAACAAAATTTAAACCGTGTGTCTTTCTAGCCCTTGCCTATTAATTCGTAATCATGTCCTAGGTTCGGAGCACCGCTCCGTGGTAGATCACACAGCCATGACAAGGCACATGGCGGGTCTACACGAGGTCACGTAATAGTTCACACAAAAACCGATAAGACAGTACACGTAATCTAACTATTCATGAAATTATTATACTGAAACGCGTTCCCTAACACTGTGACCTCATTGGTCGAATCCTTCTCGCCCCGTAACTAAGCTCAGTTTTCGGTCGCCAGAAAAACACGAAACCAGTTCGCGTTGCTGACAACCAGAAATTGAACCAAACCGTGCAACTCGATCACGTACTGAGTATAATACTCGGTAATAATGTAGTATCACAATTAATATTTGTTCCTCTTAATGCGCTCTATGGAACGCTGTTTGTCTGGTCGTGGCTTTGTAATATTGGTTTTTCTGTGGCTCGGTGCGACCATTATTTTTCCTAAACCCATTGATGTGTACAAAGGTAAACTGTATGTCTTGCTTCTCTGTGTTCAGCCACGAACTTTGACGTTATTTTTTCGTACGACGTCTCAACACGAATTGCCTCTGCAAGTTCTTATACAAACAGCATATAACGATGCATTACATAAACTTTAAAGCAAGATATAATGACGCTAGCTTTCTCCATTTTGTATGTCTTAGAATTTCATCTGCTAATATTTGTATCACTCATCATAACTTGCATGTGACCCGTCCAGAAGCACTAACTTAAGGTAGAAATTAGCGGATTGTGAACTGTGAATGTATGTATAAATTATACTCGTATTTGAGCAAAATAACAACCAAGCAAGAGATTTGGCTGGCACTGCTATACTATGGAGTGCGGAATACCAAAGTCATGATAGTTAATTAAGGTCGAGCTACAGTCACCTTTGTGCTACTTCAAAGCGCACGCCAGTAGGACTACAATACACGTATTTTACACGGTGAAGCTGCTGAGTAAGTGGGCCAAGCTAAACTCTTGTTGCTGTTGTTATGTTACTCTTATAAATAGATTGCACATCCGCTGCGCAACGCATTCACCCTAATAGATGGGCTAATTAATGTTTATTGTATATTATAAATGAATACTTAAGCTTTGTATTGAAACTCTTGTTTAGGTCGAAGAAAGTATTCGGTGTCTTTGATGTTATTAATTAAGTATAAAGCTAAATTATATGTAATTGCATTGGCATTTTCATACATGCATTTTGTTGTGTTATTTTATATGGTTCTTCCCTATAACGTCACTGCAGCAGAGGTAACTATGCCCCAGAGCGGATGTTTTTACAAAATATAAATTTTCCCTTCAGGTTTTCTGCACGTAATAAGGTTTCATTTTATGTGTATTGTTTGTTGAATATTGTTTATTTTCATGCGTCGCTGTATTCCGAATATCCAATAAGTGTGCCTATTTTAAATGCTCTCTGATTTAGTTCAGCTTTCATTTATGTTACCAGGGTTAACAAATGAACTAATAAGTTTCACGTTTACCTGACTTCTATCCAAACAAAATATAATGCAAAATTGATGCCAAAATAAATAAAAGGTTAATACAATGATCAACAGTCGATCTTGGACTCGCAAATGTGAAAACCTATAGATTGAACGATGCTGTAAAAGGCTTATTTGATATAAGTGTCGGACAGCTCGGTTTCACAGGTACCCAGGGTCGAGTCACCGCTGCTCTTTTTTTATGAATCAATGCACGTATTCTGCGATGTATTAAGAAAAATTAAGGAAAACTTCAACGAACAATACTTTCTAATCTTGATGAATAATGTCGTTCTAATAGAGTGACGTCGCTATAGGGGACCGTCACGCAAAAATTTAAATTTAGTCGCATCAACACGAGTCGAAAATATAACCCCTCATTTTTATTAATCTTCTTTTAACCGCTAAGAGAAAACCAAAAAAAAACACTAAATCCATGTTTTCAAATATCACGCGCAGATTCCAAACGGCTAAGCTTACCTGATCGTGATCAATTTGACTACATAACACCGTGATCAATCAATTAAAAACCGCCAAATACTTCATCAAAACCTTACTTAAATCCTCATTATGTGCAGTAAATGTTACTTGGATTACCCTGAGACATTACATTGAACATTTTCATATCCATATGAGCCGCCACCATATATGAAGTAAATGCACATCCCTGCACCCATGCCGAACACTTCATCAATTTCATGGCCTACACTTTTTCGAAACTATACACAATGGCATCCGTTCATTTCTACATTGCAAACTTAGACACACGGTGTTTAAATATTTTATACCTACCTGATACGATGATCATGTTCATGGGAAGCCTGTCCTAATACAAACTCTTGAACCTAAATGTTCCTCAGATTTAATGGTGGTCTGTCAAACCGAGTTAGCGAGCCCCCGGCTTCTCTTTTCTTTCTTATAAACCCCCGACTGATTGTCAATCGTTCCAAACAAATGAACACAGACGTTGTAAGCGCCCGCCTTGTCTCAGTACGGCAGGATAATTAAATTCCTAGTCGAGAACTACGCGATGTAACACTGACAAATTTGATCATGTTTATAATGCCAAAAATGTATCCGGAAAGTTATTGTTCAGGTTATTTATATTTTGGGGAATACTGCGAGTTTAAATTTTTAAACTGAATTTCTATCTAAATTAACGTATGAAAGTTTGCTGGAAATGAAAAATTGCAGCTTATTTTCCTAGTAAGTAATCGAATTTTGCTTGTTGAGAACAAAATCAGCGGATGAATACGCTAATAATTTGACACAAATTAAAAAAATTGTAATTGATTATTCGCTCTAAATTATTTTAATTATAACTAAACTTTACATAGTATTGTGTAATTTCTACAGTCTCGCGTGTACACTGAATGCTCTAATTAATTATACTAGATCCCAGGCTAGAACCGATACGTCACCTGTAGTAAATGACACTTTCTTTAATGAAAGTGTCATTAATTAACTACTAAAAATAAATAATCTCCTCTCGTTATCGTTACGCAACTAAGCGACCAGTGATTCATATATTTTCCTTGAAGCTTTCATCTAGACAAACAGTTCATCATTTGCATTATCTGATTATCACTGTTCAATAAAAAAGCCAATATCGACAATTATACACTCGGGCTCAAAGGAAGCCAGACATTTACATGGTGATTGCTAGCAACGCTAACTCATTGTAACGATTTTACCGAGCGTGATCGCCGGTGCTAAGGTCAGCGTACTAGCCTCGCTAATCGACCTCATCTGCCCAGATCATTGCACGGAACTCCATGACGGGTTTCCCTTCATAGCCGCTGTTGAGATATGTAGCGTGCTCGATTGCACGGAGTATTACCATTCGCGTCTCTATAATAGCGGATTCATCCGCTGATTTTGTTCTCAATAAGCAAAATTCTATTGCTTACTAGAAAAATTAGCTACAATATTTCATTTTCAGCAAACTTTCATACGTTAATTTAGATAGAAATTCGGTTTAAAAATTTAAACTCGCAGTATTCCCCAAAATAAATAACATGAAGGCAAAATACTATCAGACAATCTTATTATTATCAAGTACAAGATTTGTACTTGTACACCCTAATTATTATCATGCATTATATATTATTATATTTTCGATGCTATTTCTGACCCACTTTTGCCTAGCAACCCACTGAGACACACGACACTCGAACAATGAAGTGATTTGAGTCCCGGCGGGGGATAGACGCTCATGAGTGCGAAGTCACGCACCCCAATTAGCAGCAAACTCTGCCGCACTCTATCTTGCCTACCAGCCGCCACCTCAATTAAATTGATAACGTTCGTCATAAATAACATTTAACTGTATGACTACAATCAACAAGTGCAATCTTTGTGATTATCTGCATTCTGATAACTGATGCATTACGTCATGGAACGTGTATGATCGATTTACAGTTTACTATTGGAACAATTAGGATTGATACTACCTTCATAAACACTAATCATCGTTGAGTGTTGGCAATGTACAACTTATTTGGTATTGCTGAACATCACATAATAATTATATGAGCTTTGAAATGCATCAATAAGTGGAAATGGCCGCGATGCCTGACCTACTCGCAAACAACGCCACATGACACCGATGTACAGCCAGCTCTATTACGACGACCTCTCAAACATTTTTTAATTGAGCACTTAACGTTCATCAGCGTTCCCATTCAAAAACTGTTTTCGGTAGCATCGACATGGATTCAAATGAATATATTCGACCCTCTTTTGCAAGTTTTTTTTTTTAACGAATTAAATCTGAATTGAGCATCGTTCCCCAGCCGTGCATACATCCGTACACATCCAACACTTCACAGTTGGCGACATGGGCGACACTGAAAATTTTTATCGCAAAATTCAGAAAAATATTTCTTGCATTGTGTAACGAAACACGTGAAACACTATAATCAACAAGTTAACTACGGCACAAAATCTAGCAAACATCCAAATCTCGGCTCAACTGGGCCCATACTTTCAAAAAAAGGTAAGAGATCGTAAGTTCATCAGCCAATCATTGACGGCCTTTCAAGCAAAATCCACCAATCGTAGACAAGAAAATAGAGCGTAAGTACTTACGTTCACTTAGCGAGTTTTGAAAGTATGGCACCTGGTCAATAAGTTTATGTATTTTATGAATACATGTGGCTGATTTAATGGGTGTAATGACTCCGCGAGGCTGAGTTGATGTAATTCTTGGCCCCACGATGTAGAGTTGATGTGTTTCATGACCTCTCCATGCACTGTTAATTGACACATTCGATGACCTCTCATGGCTGAGCTCGCCTTCCTCCCACAGGAGGTCCCTGCGTCTCAATGAGCTGCCCTCCCACCAGCAGCTGTATTGGAAGGACGCCTCCAGCGGGTGTGTGGTCTATTATTTCTCCTACTTGTCCATCCTATGATATTCATTTAATATATGTACTTCCTCCACAGAACATACTGCTCCTCCTGATGTTTCTCAACATCTTTAGTGTCCATAAGTTTTCCTAATATATTTTTTAATAACTCTGCAAAAAAAGCTACTTAGTTAAGGTGACTTCCCTCACCTTCTGCACAGACCTCTGACCAGAGATCTCGTGTTGATCCAAGTACAACTCCAGCTATTGTTTATTGAGTCCCACCTCACGCACCCACGGGAATAGCCGACTCTGTAATATTTTTCTATGAATATTAGATTTCCGAGAAGCTTTTAGCACTCCGTTGTTCTTGCGCAACTTTTTTCCTTACGCCCCTGAACGTTTTCGCAATAAAATGCCTACTGCGAAGTATAGGCGGTGACACACCAGGCCCCATTAGCGCAGAGATAAGACCTCACAACAAGATTGCCTTCTCAGGAATTGCTATTGCTCTAGAAAATAGCGACTCTAGTCCATGTAAAATGAGCGGGGGCTGAGCCATCGCTTGGGGATGTTTGTTTCCTAAACAATCCCAGTATTAACTACAGCTATGTTGGTAATTGTGAATGCTCCTCTTGTAGATTTACTTCTGATATTTCAAATAAAAATCCGCCTAGTAGTAGTAATGACCTATTTTGTCATCCTATTAGCTTATTTTATTATTCCATTCCTGACCACCCTCGCCTTCTCGATCAATGTTCCGAGAAAAATTTGTTCTCCCAGTAGCTGCAACTCCAGTTTCTCTATTAACGCCCTTCCATCGCTCGTCCAGTCGTCCAGAAGACCGTCATCGGCATGTTGACTGTGATGTCACTCGCCGTTTACGTTCGCGAATGCGCTCTGTTGCTCGCTCCATTGTTCGCATGTTGCACGAACCGTGGATTGTGTTTTTTATTGTCGTCACTGAGCGGTCTCTTTCACGATAATTTTTACGACCATTTTTCTAATTCAAATAAACTTTTATTATGAGCCTATAATAGTGGAACGACATATATAAATATATTTATTCTGGTTAGCTTCATCACTTCCACTTTAATGACTCAATTAGGAATAGAATTTCACTCAAAACCACTATCTATAAAATTATGTTCAATTGTTGACAATTTTTCCCGGCTTCTTTTTTTGTGGCCGGCATTATCTCTTTACATGAGCCGAGGTTATGGCTTCATAACCTAGTTATGGCCAGCAAGTGAGTACCATCATGTTACAGGACAAGCCGAACGAGTGAGTACTACGTACGTCCGACGAAATTATTTTTGAATTTCCAGAGACGCCTTCCTTTTATTGTCATACTTGCTAACCTCTCTCCACGCGATACTGTGAGAACCATCGAAAAATACTCAAAGATATCGAATATACTTTTTCTTCGATAGTTCATTGCAAATCTTCAAGTTACAGTACACACAATCTTTACGTTCAGTTACCTCCTCAGCACCTAAAAAAGACCTTTGCTGCTGCTACTCCGGTTCGGTTCTTTGGCGCTCAATGGATTTCATTATGAAATGATTTTTCACTTTCTTTCCAGGTTTTCTTGTTTTAGTTACTGAATCTTGTACGTATTTACCTATTCACTAATGTATGTATTATTGTAAACTATGAGATAATTACAGTGCGGTTTCCTTCGGTATGCATGTACTGCAATTTTCATTACAATTGGAATGTTTTTTGCATGTGTAAATATTTTTCCCTTTAATTCTACACTTGCTTTAGTTTTTGTACTGCAGTTTTCCTTACAATTGGAATGCTCTTAGCATGTTGTAAATATTTTTTTCTCTAATTCCACACTTGCTTTAGTTTTTGCCAGCTTGTCCTTGCAGAGTTGACCTGCTTGACTTTTTTCCGTGGGAGTTGTTCATTGCTTCTATTCCTGTATTCACTCATTTTTTTGTAGAACATTCTTTGTTATCTTATAAGTTGGCATTTGCTTTTAGTTTTTTATCAAGAACCATTGTTTATTTATTTGTTTTTACATATTCAATTGTTTTCGTGCTCGTTCATTTGCTTCCTCTTAAGTTAAACAATTTTTTTAACTTCTTTGTTTTTCCTTCAATGCGTGTTCAAGTAAAAATTTCGATCGATTTTCTCCGATTTTCTTCCTTTTGTGTAGTCTTACTCGACCAGAGTTGCCGCCTAAAAGATGGTTTAATCAATGATCAAGCTATCCTCAGCTGACGGTTCTTCGTTTAACACTTTAACTCATCCTAATTCAGGCGCCGCGGCATTCCCAACTAAACCTACCTACAAATTTAATGAATTTATATGAGATTTGATTTTCAATTTACTATTTATTTATATAAGTTTTTCGAAAAAGTTCCGAATGCAATTTGTTTCATGTACGTTTTATTTGGCTTGCTTATTTTAATGCTCTCCGCCTCCCATTCACATGTACATGAACTCCCGGGAAGAGGACATCGAAAACATTCCATTTTAGTTTGCCATCGACATGTTTTCTTTGAATCCTGTGGAGTAAATTTAAAGGATTAACTGCGATAATATGATAGGACCTAATTCTTTCTCTGATATATCAGCCTGTATTTATTTCCCCAAGATTGTTAGCTGCATCGCGTATCACTTGGTGCACGTGTGCGAGGGAACTGCAGCTTTTAAAATTTTCAATCCAATAAATTTTAATTTAATAAAATGTCATTAATTGTTTCCCATTATATGAACTTTACATGAAAACTCAAAATTTAGATGCATTAACACCTGCCCAATAGTAAATTTTTCGTTGCTTGAATAATGGTATATAATATGAAGAAGTGTTTTAATCGTTCAAAAGACTTTGGTTTAACGGAAAAATGTACGCTGAATTATAACACGTCGGTCAACGATTCGACGGTTGAAGGGAAATCGTGTCCTTGAATTCAGTCTGTGTCGCAAACACTGTAGCACTCACTTTAGATGTTGTCATAAACAATGTAACACTAACTTTAGATGTTGTCATAAACACTGTAGCACTAACTTTATATGTTGTCATAAACAAAGTAGACATTGATGTTGATGCCTCGCTTCAGACGTTACTCTAATGATTGTAGACGTAAACTGACCTCTCACTTCAGACAGCGACGTAAATAATGCTGGAATTAACTGTGTACGAACTTAAAACATTGTAATAAACAGAGTAGTCGTTGTCCTCGATTTCAGACGTTAATTGAGCCCTGACTTCAGTCCTTGCATGAGCATTTTAGACGTCAATTGATCCCTCACTTCATACGCTACAAACAATGCAGAATACATTATAAATTTACTTACAAGGCCCCTAGATTATATAACCTTACTTGTTGCCTTACCCTCTAATCGTAGCATGGAGCAGGACCAAAAAAAACCTGCATAGTTACCTGATTGAATGATTCAATTCATTTATTTTGTGATAAGTTTTGAATTTCTCTCAAACCGTCTACACTACCGTCCGCTGTCTCATCACCACTCTAACTCGTAACTAGCAATCCTCTGCCCCCATCAAACATCATCATACCACTCGCTCCCGCACCACTCAACTCCCTCACTACCACCACTCGATCGTACTTTCCTCTCCATCCTCGTTCTAGCATCACTTTTCCCTCTTATTCCCTTCTCTCTCTTTCCCTCCATCATCACTTTACCCTCACTCTGCTGTCACTTTACCCTTGCTCTACTCTCACTCTACACTCGCTCTATACTCACTTTACCCTCGCTCTACCCTCAGAAAATACCTCTCTGGCACCCCACGTCGCTCTGCCAGCGTTGACTCGCTCGTCGACCAGACTGGCAACAACAACAACAACAACAACAACAACTGCATCACTTACAACCACAACAGCCTGCTGGTGCCGGGCAGCGCCCACCACCCGCCACCATGCCCGCCATCCTTCAGGGGCAACGGCGCGGCGCGGGCAGCGATGCCCGCGTCGCCGTCGCCGGGCAAGCGCCCCGCAAAGCCGGACCGCGCGGCGCACTACGGTACAGGTGCGTGGGCGCGTTGACGTGTACTACACTCTTTATTGCACGTATCTCTACTGGGAGCCTTTTTTTCTAGCAACCAATGCAACCAACTCTCAATAAAGCATGTTCTCCTAGGTTGCCCTGGATATAACTGTTATAGAACTATTATATAATCACTACGGAACTTATTTATAAAAGTTATATCCAGGGCAACCTAGGGGAACATGCTTTATTGCACGTATTTCTACTTGGAGCCTTNAGCATGATGCGTGTCCTCACCACTGAGGCGCAGCATGATGCGTGTCCTCACCACTGAGGCGCAGCATGATGCGTGTCCTCACCAAGTAGTGATCGCTATTGATATCAGCGCCTCTCCTCTGTACTGCGTGTCCAGGACAGACGATCTCCACCTACCGTTGATCAGGAGGTGGTCGATCTGATTATTTACTCTTTGATCTGCCGACACCCATGCTGCTTTGTGGACGTTCTTGTGGGTGAATAATATATGTAGGTTAGGTTGCCCTGGATATAACTGTTATAGAACCATTATATAATCACTACGGAACTTATTTATAACAGTTATATCCAGGGCAACCTAGGTGAACATGCTTTATTGCACGTATTTCTACTGGGAGCCTTTTTTTCTAGCAACCAATGCAACCAACTCTCTAAAGCATGTTCACCTGTTAGCACAAGTCCATTAAGCTGGCAAAACTCACATTTCTTTCTCCATTATCATTCTGCATCCCCAGTCCATAAACGCCAGCATAGTCCTCTTGTACCCACTGTCGTCATTTCCAATTTTAGCATTGAGGTCTCCCATGATGATGGTGATGTCATTCCTGATGCATCCATTTAATGTTTCTTTTAGCTCTTGGTAGAACTGTTCTTTCTCACAGCACATCCACTTGGTATTTCCTTTTCTCAGCACATCCACTTGGTATTTTTTTCATCTCGCTTACGATCTGTGCTGCAGCTACTTCCCTGTACTCACATTCCAATGACCGATGGTGAAAATATTTTTGGGTGTCGCTAGAGATCTTGTCGGGCGCTGGGCTTCCCTAAGGCTTTGATCCATCGCCGTCATAGGGTAGGGCCAATATTGGCGACCTCTGTTCCACTGTTCCACCCTGGTTTACTTGCAATATGCCGTCCGTTGTTTCTGTAAGAAGATTGTTTTCTGGGAGTAGGTTGTTAGCCTTCTGCCCAACCCCCAGGCTTGGAGGGCCAGTGGTTTTCTGTCCGGGTGTATTTCCCTTAGACTGCGTTGGCCCAAGCTAGTAGTCACCTGACGGTGTACCTTCCATCCGCCACCCGGAGGATGCGCCTCCTACGTCGTGCAGTCCCAGCGCGAGGGCTGCTGTCTGAGGAAGAGGGGAATGAGGATTTGAAGAGGAATTTTGGAATAAAAGGAGAATTTATTGTAAAATATGGAACAGTGGGATGATGAGGGCAAGGATGGGAATAATTTACGTTCTGCGAGGAAACTGAGGAATGATTTTATGAGAGAAATCAATGAATGAGGATCGATTTGTTGGGGAAGACGGAACTGAGGGATGCTGTTTTGGGGAGTAGAAAATTGAAGGATGATGTGTTGGGAAGGACAGATCTGAGAGATGATGTGTTGGGGAGGACAGAACTGAGGGATGATGTGTTGAGGAGGACACAACTGAAGGATGAAAACATGGTGAGGTTGTAGAGGTGAAATATTTTTTAAAGGCACGTCTTGACGTCAGAAATATATAGCAAAAAGCTCGAAGCCTAATTTCGTTAAGTAAAAAACGGCAATAGAGCATCAGTTCAATAATGAATGTCAGATGCACACTTCCCTGCCTTAGGCAGACCGAGAAAAAATACGTTTTTTCAATCGTCCGCAGTTCTTGAGCAATTTGAAGACGTCCGTGTTTTTCTGCAAGTGATTTAGCGCCGGGAAATAGAGTCATTCCGACGGGCGAGTAAGTAATGCAGACAGCCTGCCGAATGATACCATTCTAATGCTATTCCTACCTGAATGTCAAAACCCGATTCCCTTGTAGCATCAGCAAACCAGAAACTGCTCTGAATATTCAATGAGCCAAGATCACCTACACCAATTGTTGCCTTTTTAACGCTATTCCTATGAGTGAGTGAATGAAACATCCTGCTTACACCGTTTTTATGGGACCCCCAAACCATGTATTCAATCTGGCGATGTCAACAGAACGCATTACACGAACTTCGTCTTGACGGCATTAGAAAAATTGGTCGAGAATGGCTTTTATTTGCGGCAACATATTGGAAAAGTTAGAGGGAAAAGAGGGGAAGAGAGGGGAGCCCATCATAGGATTAGTGAACAACGACCTCAGATTAATGGCGCGGAACTATACATACATAGACTGCTTTAAGTGGATTAGGCCAAACGCCGTGTTTTAGGCAATTATTGAAGGGGGATATAGGGATGATGTGCGAGTGGAGTAGGGTAATTTCTGGTGTTTTAGGGAATCTTTTCTTTTTATTCCTCGGGTAAATAATAATATAATATATAATATAAATAATATAATGAAATAACTTGCTTGAGGAATACGATAATTCTATACCTGAGTTGGGGTATTGAGGATTGTAACACATCTTATAATAATGTCAGGATAAGAAATGGCAATGCCAAGGCATTGTAAACGCCATTTTGGCTTATGATAAAAAGCGTGCAGTGTTCGTGGCTGTTGGAATTTACTTTAATATTAATCCGTGGACCTGCCTAGAGTGCAGGAAAACGATATACAATAATGGAAACAGTAAATCGGACCAACCAAACTTTGACAGATTGACATATCACGAATATAAAGCAAATAAAACGTATAGGAATTTACAGAACAATAGGTAAATGATTCAAGAAGCTGAGCGGCTGAACATAACTACGTTGCTCTTCGAGGGTCGGAAACTAAACAAAATTGCGATACTACGTACAAAAGAGAGGTTCTGAGATGAATGAAGGCTGACAATTTTGATAGGCCTAACCGCCTATCAAAATGAAATTTTGATGAGAATTTTGATTTTGAAAGGCCAAAGCGCAAAGTTAATGGTTCTCGGCACACAAGTAATGCTTAAAAATTCATCAAAGCACAATTATTGTCGCTGAAATGCTTAAAAAATCATCAAAACACAATTATTGTCGCTGAAATTTGAGATACAAGATGAAATTAATAATCACGATCGAGTAAAGGTTAAGCAAGGCGAGTGTTAACTGTACAGGCGGGGTCCCGAGGGCAGCAGCTGCTCCCCTAATCCCCCCCTTTGGGGACCGAGGTGGGCTGGGGTACTTATATCCCTATGTTGCAAGCGATTTTATAATTTTGCCTATGATATTGCCAATGCCGGCACAATTCGACCGTAAAAATTTAAGATTGATACAATTGTCATTCACAAAGTGGATTTTGGCTGGTCTTTTCGCTTCATTTTGTCACAAAATGATTATTTGGATGTTCCTCGATAAATTTTTGTGAAATTCTCGATGAGCCAAGATTATTGTCCATTGCATCCAGCCGTGATGAAAGATGAAACATGATCCGTAAATCATCCCGTCGAAGCTATAATTTCATATTATATCTTTATGACGAGTCATAAACTAATGCAGCTACTACATATAGGTGCCTAAAACTAAGTCACTAATATAACAAAACCAAGTCACTAACATAGGGAGATATAGCTCTCAGTATTGAATATATTTCACTTAGAAGTGTACGGCACCAACACCGATAACGCTGCACAAAAAATGTCCTTGCCACACGCTAGAGTCTAGACTAAGAGGGTCTACGTCAGCTACCATAACCTAAACTGTTGTCCTGCTATCGCTGCTACGATGTCCTGTCATCGCCGCTACGTCAGCTACCATAACCTAAACTGTTGTCCTGTCATCGCCGCTACGTCAGCTACCATAACCTAAAGTGTTGTCCTGCCATCGCCGCTACGTCAGCTACCATAAGCTAGGCTGACGTCCTGCCATCGCCGCTACGTCAGCTACCACAATTAAATATGACGTCGTGGTCCCGAGTGGGACGGGCGCTGAAGGACAATCAAGTAGTTGCACGTAATGGGCTTGTTGAGAGCCAAGTTGTTGTGGTTAAGAGGGTGATGAATGAGGTAATTAATGAGGCCATTAACGTGACGCAGTATGGTGATTTGTTACCGTAAAGCAGCTTGTTGACTTCGTAATAATCTCATTAAGTCGGAATTATTGGACGAGTCTTCTCAGACAATCTGTGCAGTTACAGCAAAATAAAAATCTTGCTGATTGCTTTGGACTCATCATATCACTTTCATTTTATCACTTCATTTTCTTGCTTAGATTTTATCACTTTCATTTTATTGGTTTCATTTTATAACTTTTATGTTGTTACTTTAATATTATCACTTAATTTTATTGTTTTAATTCTATCACTTTCATTTAACAAAGTTATAAATGACCTGCTTTCATGACTGAAGGCTGCTGAAGCCTCTGCATGATCGCGCGGCTGGCTTGGCAGTTCAGGGTCGGGTTAAGGTCGGCCAACCGCCGGCCGATTCCTGCGCAAGCCTCTTACGAGCCTCACATGCACTCTTACGCTGAGCATGGTTTCACACGCACGAATGCGCTGCGTGTTATTTTACACGCTCTCCTTCACTACGCATGATTTCCCACACACTCTTTAGCCATGTATTATTTTACACGCTCTACATTAAGCAAGATTTTACCCACACTATTTAGCTGTGTACTATTTTACACGCTCTCCTAAATTAAGCATGATTTTACACACACTATTTAGCTGGGCGTTATTTAAACCCACTCCTACACTTTGTAGGATTTCAGACACATTGTTTAGTTGCGTATTATTTTACACGCACTATTACTACGTATGATTTCACACACAATCTTTAGTTACGTATGATGTCACACACACTCTTTAGCTGGGCATTATTTGCCCCTACTTCTATACTTTGTATGATTTTACACACAATCTTTAGCACGTATGATATCACATACACTTTGTAGCTGCGTATTATTGTACACGCACTCCTACGCTGCGTA